TGAACATAAGACTAAGTATCAACATTCTTTTAACCTCTGCTTAAAGACTGTTTCCAACAATATTAACCTGCAACCAATAAAGAATACTAGTGCAATGAAAATTATAATAATATTGAAACAAATTTTGTATGTTAGTTAAAAAACTCTTCAGCAATGAATATTAAAAACGTGATTATTATAATAAGTAAATTTATTTAAATAAGTAAGCATGTGTACGTGTGTGTATATTTATTGCAAACAATAGTAATTAATATTAATATAGAAAAGTATATTTACATACATATGCATTTTGATTACTCACTTATTCGAGGTACGGATGTGAACTAATGATTGCAATTTCTAACACAATCCGCTTATCAATCAATTTTTAACTAGAATTTCCACGAACATTTGCTTTTATTTAGGAACGGGACTTTCCCTTGTAATATTTTTTTACTAAAATTTAATAAGTGCAAAACTATTTTACATTAACAATGTTATTATCTTTAGTTGTTTTATAATTAGTTTCGTTAATTTTAACTGTATGTGTTTTGATATACAATATGCATTTTGAAAAAACGAATACTGAATAATGACTCAATGTAATTCAATTCAAATAGTATATTCTGTTGACAATAATCGACGTATTCGACGTATTATTCTTGAAAAAACTTACATCGCTATTGTGCTACCTTACACTAAATTTAAAAACTTTTGCCAAAAATGTTATTGTTTAAACATTCATAACCATTTGGATGCACTATAGTTTCCTTATCAAGTTCATTATAACCATAGCCCTTTTTTGTTTTTTTTTTAATTGCTGCATTTATTGATTAAGCATGATTCAATCAATACATTTTAAGTTCTTGATCTAAGTTCTTGATTATCTAGATTATCTAATCTAGCTTGATTATCTAATCCAGTTTGATTTGTTGGATCACACGTGTTTATGAGAATGTGCTGATGAGATTTTCCATCAAGTTCATCAGGGAGAATAGCATCATCTTTTTTTTACGTTTTAAGCTGTTCCAATCAATGTGTAACCATAAAAGTGGCAAATTTGTTATTCTACAATATACATATATCACAGATAACAGAATGAATAATATGTAATAATATTTATATACATTGTTTATTTATATTATTGTTTATTTATTATTGTATTATTTTTTTAACTAATGATTTTTTGTTTATTTATAATATGTTTGATTTCGTTAGACGTTAATCCTGTTACTCTGATATATAGAAGAAATGGATTGTTTATACGTTAACATGCATTCTTATTATCCATAAAATAGCGGAGTCTACGTCAATGCATGCGCTTAAACAGTTTATTAAATCAGTAAACAATTCAAGAAATTGGACCCTTCTTTGTAACTTCGGTGTATATATTTTAAGTTGCTGATGAGAAATCAGCGACATACGTATGTGTGTGTACATATATTGTACTTGAATGCAACGTAAACATAAAATATTTGTTTGTGTTTAAAGATTTATTAATTTTAATTTCAAATTTCATAAGCTTTTCACAATTAAGTACTATAATCAAAAAATCCAGAACGATTATATAAACAATTATATATTGCAACTAACTTCAACGATGAGAATTTCAATAACAGATAACATGTAATTTCTTGTTGAAGATAATAACATACATAGTTAAATAACTTGTAAATTAATGAGCAAAATAATTTGTAATTTAATAGATTAAAAAAAAACTATAACTCGAATTTCTCTATAACTCGAATAAAAATATTGTAACGTGCCAATAAAAATATGGGCAAGTGCATTCTATAAGTTGAATTTTTGTTTTAAATATGAATCCAATTTGATATTAGGGGAAGTCCCTTTTTCCAAACCAAATGTTTAACTTTTTCTTTATTATGTTGCTTCTTTGTGCAAATGCTAGTCGCTGACATTTGTGTTTATGCATAGAATTGGTATTTCTTTCGCCAAATATGATCTCTAAATTGCAATCGCTTGATCGGGAAGTAATTTAAAACTTAAAGTAAATTTTAACTAACGCAACAGAATCGTAAAAGAAGCACTAAAGCGTATACCTAGAAGCAAACAAAAAGCAGTATATTACACTTATAGATTACATAAATCATGTAACAAAAACTTGATATATTGATGTAAGTAGTCAAACGATAGCGCACTGCTTTAAAAAAGCTGGATTTAGCCAATTTTCTACATGGGACGAATAGGACGACATATTCCTTTAGTTTTTTTGAATAACATTGATGAAGACTGTGAATTGATGGAAAAAAATTATTAAGCGCCTTTTAAAGTAAATAATATAACTTCCAATGCTATTTTTAATGTTTATATTGGGCTTGACAATAAAATTTGCACATCAAACTTTCCTACAGATAACGGTATTATTGAGCATTATTGCTCTGAATTAGTGGATCTGGTTCTAAGCGCAACGGAAAATGTTGATGAGGATTCGGTGAATGAAATTGTTTATCAGCATTTCAGTAAAGAAGTAGAAGACATTCAAAATTTTGAATTTTTATTTGCAAACGAATGATACTACAACTGGTGATCTCTATAAGGCTTTCAAAAAATTCGAATCTCTTTTTATTGAAAATAAAAAAAGAAATAAAAATCCCAAACACTGATTTCTGAATATTTTATTTCACTATAACATCTGCGCTGTATTTGATTTCAAATAAATAAATAAATATTTTAAAATGTAATTCTAGTTTTTTTTACATCTACAAAAAAAATAAAAAAATTCTCTAACACAAAGTCTCCATAAGTCGAACCATTTCTCTGCAAAATAGTACTTCGAGTTATGAAAGTCCGACTGTATATTGAATTTTTCAGCTCAATCCAAACAGATATAACAGTTACAATTTCGACTTTCATTACAATTCGTGACTACACAAAAATAAATCAGGTATTATTCAAAAAATCTAGTACTTTTGTACTTGATCTACATGTTGTACATCTCAGCTATACAGATCTGTCTAGTTCACTGTTTTGAAGTATTGAAATTGAAGTATTGGATTGGACACACACTGCGTAAGCCTTATGAAAATATCACACATGCTGCACTTACTTGGAACCCTTAGGAGACTAGACGCAGAGGAAGACCAGCAATGACATGGAGAAGGACAGTTTAGCAGGAGACGGGCAATTCGTTTAACGAGTTAAGAGCAAAAACACAAAATAGAAACCAGTAAAAAAGTTTTGTAGACTTCTTAAGCTCCTAACGAAGTATGGAAGTAATAATAAATAAAACAAAAGGATAATTTTAAAGTAAAAAATTTTATAGAATTTTGATAGGAATGATAATGATTCCTCAAATAATAATTTTATAGAAAATTGTGCTTAAGTTACTTATATTTATAAGTACCAAGTTACAATGGAATGTAATCCACATTTTATAATATTTCTTATATGTACTGATATAATTTATAATAAAATTAAAATTACTCATTAATTTACTTTAAAACCTTTTTAAATAAAGAATAAGCAGAGATTGTTTTGTAATAAATTTGTCACAATGGACAACGAAGCAGTAATGGTTATTGATTCCATATTTATATTAAGACAGTGTATTTTTAATAAGCAAATTTTAAGAATTCAATTTTTAAATAACCGACATTAGGCCCAGTTAAATTAAATTTTATTGAACTATAGATTGAAATAATAATTAATTTTAAAAAAGAAATTTTATTTAAGTTATAGAACCATATTGTATGTATAAAGATATATTTACTTACGTTTGTATATTGCAATTTGTATGTTTCGCTTATCGCAGCATTTTCTTTATTCTTAATAAAACTCTGAAATCTAGAACGTGCAATGCGTTTTTCAATTACCCAGCCACTTTCCTTTGAAATCAAGCAAGAATGATACAAATCCATTACAAAACGTCCAATCAGATCAGCTATTCGAAAAAGGGGATTTCTCTGATTATGTATGAATTCAATTAAATGTTTAGTAATTTTTTATATAATATAGCAAATATGAAATATCACTGTAATTATTTTATTTTATATAATTTTAAGATATGTACATTAATAAACATATAATTCTATGCAAATTAAATTTATACTTTAAAAAACTTTTACAGAAATAACTACTGCTTTTTAACTAAGTAGTGTGCTTTTGCGAGCATCTTTAATGTAATAACAAAAATATATATATATAAATATTATATATATTCATTATAATTTATTATATAAATTAAATATATTTTAATACCAATGACTTGGTTCACATCACCAGAATTTAGAATAACATCACCGAATTCCGACATTTTTTACACAATAATATTTTCTTGAATTTTAAAATATTCCACACGAATTTAAAAGAACAAAATCAACTCAACACATCAACGGATCGAACCGAACTAATAACTGTTGAAGTGAGTTAACTTTACGAGCGGTGCAGAGTATCATTTACGTGTGTCATACAAGAGAGAAAAACGTTGTATGACACACATAAATGATAATCTGCACCATTGTTTGGTGAGCAGCTCTCGCCAACATGTTGTGCATGTTAGTTTGTCACCGTAAAACATTCATACGTCATACAAGAGCATTTTTACCTTACAAATTTATCGTAAGCAGATACATGTAGAATTCTAATATAAATTTAATACGTTTTTTTATTATTTTATTATTAATGTATTTATAATTTTTATTATTATTATTATTTATTATTATTAAAATTACACTTATAAATTTGTGTTAAATATTTAATTGTATTTTAATTAAAAATATATAAATTTTTATATAAAAAGTTTTTATAAAAAATTAATATACAATTAAACTTTTAACACAAATTTATAAGAGGTAATTGTAAGTAATTAAAAAAAATATTGCAAATATGTCATAATAACAATTAATTAATAATCTAAATTTAAGATATAATACTTTGTATTCTAAATATACTTTTCTTTGTTAAAACCTGTTATTAAAATAAAAAAATTTTAAATGTTAATAATCTTGAACTAACAAAAACATGGAAATTATCAAATGTCTTGAAAAACAATGAATATATGTAAATTCTTTTATTATTTGTATTGTCTATTTATGGAAAATTTCTTAAAAATTTTTTTTACGATTTTATAATTTTACTTTAAATTTCACACAAATTTTTACAGCATGCGTAAAACAACCTTACGCTTCAAAAATTTTGCGTGAATGACGACTCTTGCGTGTCATACATGTTCAAATTCGGTCGCTAGAAGAAATTTGAGCAAGAGAACGCAACTTGTGTGACACACAAAAATGATAGTCTGCATCGCGCTTTAGAAAATGCACAAACATCACCTCAAACCCTACGATTATTTTCAACTTCACCTTTTTTAGGTCCATATTCGGACCTATATATAATTAATAAATTAATAATTTATAGTTTAATTAAAATTGTGTTAGAGGTTATGCCGTGCATCAAAAATTTATATTATTTATTCTAAAAAATTGCTTATTTCAATGATAAAAAAATTATATAAATTTATATGTTTTTTTTTGTAGACTATTATATCAACTCAATTGTTATTAAAAAGAATTACGTTCGGTTCATTGATTTATAACATTTTATAATTAATCGTTCCAATGACCAAATTTTAATTATATAATTTATTAATTGTTTAATTCATACACAATTTTTAAAAACATTTTTAAGAAACTTATTTTGTTTTTCTTTAAAATATATAAATATATATTTCGACTATAGTCTATAATAATTTTCAGGGTACTACTGCAGATTTAATGTTAAGTATATATTAACATGTCGAATGTTTCGACCACCTTCAATAGTCATCTCAATTGTTTATTTTATGTTTTGTAACTATACACTTGCACTTTTATTATGCTGTCATATAAAGATATATAACAATATAAATTAATAGGACATAGAATTAATTCTATATATTTATATGTCGCTTAATTGTTATTGTATTTATTGTATGTTAAATTATTTTTTTTTCCTATAAATTTTATTTATCATTAAATATGTTATTATTTCAATACGTAAAAATGATTATAGACTATAGTCAAATAATAATAATATATAGTTGTTAATAATAACATATTTTTAAATCTAATTTAATAACATTTAACTTTATTACCTAATGTTACATTTTTTATATAATATTAATTTTAATATAAACGAACCAAACAATATACGAATATTTAATTGTCCAGCTATAATCGACGGCGCATTGCATTAAGTGTTATAAACAGTGAACGAAAATAAACAGTACAGTACACAAATAGTACATTAAAAATGATAGCGACATATCCGAAACACTAAAATAATGTACTGTTTCCGAAATCTCATGTAAAATTTTCAATGTACTCGTTGTGCTGTTCTTTTTCTGAAGGTAGTGAACTTTTTAACAATCTTTTCACGAAGGTAGTATTTTTTTAGTGTATGCTAATGTCTATCGAGCAAAACCATTTGAAAATATTTGTAAGGTGTATTGTTTTTGTTTGTTTGTGTAAGAAGAGGAAAAAATATTGTTTTCATTTAAATATGTATATTGTGTATGCATTTATTGATGCATATTTCATATCAGTTGACGTATTAAATAAATATAATACTTTATTGCAAATAGTCCATTTGTATTTATAATACCAATAAAATACAAAAGAAACATAACTTTTTAAAGTTTTTTATATATAATACAATAGAAAATAGTAAAAAATTTTTTAGAATTTTTGTATATCACTTATAACATCTGAAATAGCTAAGGAATACATAGTTTTTATTATAACCATATACATATGTCAATTGATACGCTAATTTTTCCTAAGTAAATATAAAAACCAGGTAGAATTAAATAAATAGTTGAATTTATTTTCAAAGAAATATGTTGCCTCATTTTATTTTATTGCCTAAACAATGTTTAAATTGAAGAATATTGAGGAAATGGGTAAGTTAGGTAAATTTTTTAGTTAATTTCTGTGTGAAAGGGCCTATCATTTCCATGAAATACAAGACAGAATAAAAAAAGCAAGAGTAAAAATGATTTTTTGTCAAAAAATGCGAAACAAAGTTATGAAAATGTGATATATTGAATATATTATTAATTCATATTTAACAAAAATTATCACCTGAAGAGTTGTTTTATATAATTCATTACTTACTTACTTATGTGGCCATAACAACCCGTTACCGAGTTTCGGCCTGACGCAGCATGTCTCCCCAGGCGCCTCTGCTGCGTGCGCGCCTTCTCCAGTCTCGTATATCAAGTCCAGTTAGTGCTCCCTCAACTTGATCACTCCACCGGAGACACGGTCTACCTTTACGTCTTCTTCCGCCAACTACTGCTTCAAACACCTTTTTCGCCGGAGCGTCTTCATCCATTCTCACGACATGACCAAGCCAGCGAAGCCGCTGGATGTTAATGCGCTGAATTACGTCAATGTCGTGATAAAGCTCGTACAGCTCGTGGTTCATTCTAATGCGGTAGTCGTCGCCAACTCGTAGAGGACCAAAGATCTTACGAAGAACTTTTCTCTCGAACACTCCCAGTGCTGCTTCATCATTCTGGGATAACGTCCATGCTTCTGCGCCATACAGAAGCACAGGGAGGATGAGCGACCTATAGAGCGTAAGTTTTGTTTGTCGAGAGAGAGCTCTACATACCAATTGCCTATTGAGCTCATAGTAGCACCTATTAGCAATGGTGATTCTTCGTCTGATCTCCAGACTGACATCATTTGTATTCGTTACAGCGGTGCCAAGGTAGATGAAATCCTTGACAGATTCGAAAGTATAGTCGCCAGCCACTAGCCCGGTGTCCGAGCGACGCACATTTCTACCAGTAGCCGACATATACTTCGTTTTTCCCTCATTCACCGCTAAACCCATTCTTGCAGATTCCTTTTCGATAGCAGCAAAAGCAGCTGTAACATCACGCTTGCTACGCCCAATGATGTCAATGTCGTCGGCGTAAGCAAGGAGCTGGACACATTTGTAGAATATTGTTCCATTACGATGAACACCTGCCCTGCGCATGATCACTTCCATGACGAAATTGAAGAGGTCACATGATAAGGGGTCACCTTGTCTGAAGCCTCGCACGGTATCAAAAGGTTCAGAGAGACTCGATCCTACCTTGACGGAGCTACGGGTATTACTCAGCGTCATTCTGCAAAGCCGAATTAATTTTGCAGGGATACCGAGCTCAGACATTGCGGCGTAAACGCGATCCCTAATGGGGCTATCGAAAGCTGCTTTATAATCGACAAAAAGGTGATGAGTATCGATGTTATGTTCGTGGGCTTTTTCCAGGATTTGTCGCAGTGTGAATATCTGATCAATGGTGGAGCGACCAGGTCGAAAGCCGCACTGATAAGGTCCAATCAGTGAGTTGGCATGTGGCTTCAACCTTTCACACAGTACAGTTGAAAGAACCTTGTACGCGACAGGTATCAGGCTAATCCCGCGATAGTTGGCGCAAATCGTCGGGTCACCTTTTTTCAAGACAGGACAAAGGCTACTGAGATTCCAATCGCTGGGCATACTTTCATCTAACCATATTCTGCAGATAAGCTGATGCATGCACCCTATCAGCATATCGCCGCCGGCTTTGAACAATTCAGCAGGCAGGCCATCTGCGCCTGCCGCTTTGTTGTTCTTAAGTCGCTGTATAGCAACACGCACTTCGTTATGGCTAGGTGGTGGAATTTCAACGTCATCATTTTCGATTGGGGATACAGAGGGCATTTCTTCAATGGCAGAGTTGATGTTATCATCGCCAGATAGTAGTTTGGAGAAATGCTCCTTCCATACTTTCAGTACATTCTGCGTATCTGTAACCAGATTACCGTTTTCGTCCTTACAGGTTGATGCACCAGGCTTAAAGCCTTGAGTCAGACGGTTGACTTTTTGATAAAATTTACGGGCATCATTCCTATTTCTACACACCTCAATTTCCTCTCGCTCGCGCCTTTCTTGATCTCGTTTCTTCCGTCTGAATAGGCACCTCTCTACCTTCCTCATCTCCCGATATTGTTCATGCACGGTTCGCGTTGCTGCTGACTGCAGGGTCCTTTTATAGGCCGCGTTCTTCGCAGCAGTAGCTTGGCGACACTCTTCGTCGTACCATTGGTTTCGCCGTGGGGGACGTTTGAAACCAAGGACATCTTCCGCTGTTGTGCGTAGGGAGTGAGAGATATGTCCCCACTGTCTACCGGCATTATCGAGACGGGAGGGTTGGTTGTTTAATCGGCTAGAGAGCTGAGCGGCGAAGGCTTCGGCTGTCTCTCGTGATCGCAGCTTATTAACGTCTAGTTTTTTTTGAACATTGGAGCGTACGTTGTTGGCGGTACTAAGCCGCATGCGTACCTTGGCTGCGACAAGGTAGTGATCTGAGTCGATATTTGGACCACGGAATGAACGTACGTCCAGCACACTAGAAGCGTGCCTTGCGTCAATCACGAAGTGATCAATCTGGTTTCGTGTTGCTTGATCGGGAGATAGCCACGTTGCCTTGTGAATATCACGGTGTGGGAATCTGGTGCTACATACTACCATATTTCGCGCCGCAGCGAAATCAATTAGCCTTAGACCGTTGTTGGAGGTTGATTCATGGAGGCTAAATTTTCCGACAGTTGGACCAAAGACTTCTTCTCTTCCAACCTTTGCATTAAAATCCCCGAGAACAATTTTAACGTCGTTGGCGGGACTGCGGTCATAAATTTCCTCGAGTCTCGCGTAGAATATATCTTTGGTCAAGTCGTCCTTTTCTTCTGTCGGCGCGTGAGCGCAAATTAACGTGATGTTAAAAAATTTTGCCTTGATACGGAGTGTGGCAAGCCTTTCGTTCACCGGTGTGAATCGCTGGACTAATTTGGATAGTCTCTTGCTTACCACAAAACCGCATCCAAATTCACGTCGATTTGCATGGCAGCTGTAGTATACATCACAGTTTGCTCTTTTAGAGCAGCCTTGTCCTATCCATCGCATTTCCTGGATGGCGGTGACGTCAGCCTTACATTTATTGAGGGCTTCCGCCAGTTGGATAGAGGCACCTTCCCTATAGAGGGTCCGGACATTCCAGGTGCATATCCGTAAATCATAGTCCTTAATCGTTTGCATTGGTCGTCAACGTTATTCGGTTTCCAGTTCCGAGGCACTCTTGCGTCCTTCATTGGTGGTTGATTTTACGTGACGGGTACCAAACCCTGTGCACAACCCAAATTTAAAGTCCTGGGGATAGGACTCGCCGTACGTACTATTAGTTCATTACCCAGCGGGTGCCAGGTAACTATCCAGGGGTGCCACGAGGAGGCTGTGCGACAACTTGGATTGAGGACAACAAGGATTGCGCTGGCATTTTCCATGTTAAATGCAATCAGACACGTTGCCTTGTGTACTCGCTCCCAGGGGGCACGCGGGCCCCCCCCCCTATTAAAAATCCTTA